AAGCATAGCACAAGATCGTGTAGTTCGTTTGCTAGAGCTTTTCCAATGTAAAGTATCTTTTCCTTAGACCATGAGATCGTGTAACTCCCGGATACCGTAGGAGTGCTTTGGGTGTACCAAACGTCACAACGTAACTGGGTGACTATAAAGGTATACTACGGGTATCTCTGAAAGTGTCTGTTGGGTTGACACGGATCGAGACTGGGATTTGTCACTCCGTATGACGGAGAGGTATCTCTGGGCCCACTCGGTAATGCATCATCATAATGAGCTCAAAGTGACCAAGTGTTTGGTCACGGGATCATGCATTACGGTACGAGTAAAGTGACTTGCCGGTAACGAGATTGAACGAGGTATTGGGATACCGACGATCGAATCTCGGGCAAGTAACGTACCGATTGACAAAGGGAATTGTATACGGGGTTGCTTGAATCCTCGACATCGTGGTTCATCCGATGAGATCATCGAGGAGCATGTGGGAGCGAACATGGGTATCCAGATCCCGCTGTTGGTTATTGACCGGAGAGTCGTCTCGGTCATGTCTACGTGTCTCCCGAACCCGTAGGGTCTACACACTTAGGGTTCGGTGACGCTAGGGTTGTAGAGATATGAGTATGCAGTAACCCGAAAGTTGTTCGGAGTCCCGGATGAGATACCGGACATCACGAGGAGTTCCGGAATGGTCCGGAGGTAAAAGATTATATATAGGAAGTCAGGTTTTGGCCATCGGAAAAGTTTCGCGGGTCACCGGTATTGTACGGGACCACCGGAAGGGTCCTGGGGGTCCACCGGATGGGGCCACCTATCCCGGAGGGGCCCATGGGCTGAAGTGGGAGGGGAACCAGCCCCTGGTGTGCTGGTGTGCCCCCCTTGCCCCCCCTGCGCCTAGGGTTGGAAACCCTAGGGGTGGGGGCGCCTCCACCTGGCTTGGGGGGCAAGCCACCCCCTTGGCCGCCCCCCCCCCCTTGGAGATTGCATCTCATAGGGCCGGCGCCCCCCCCCTAGGGGCCCTATATAAAGAGGGGGGAGGGAGGGCAGCCGCACCCATGCTCTTGGCGCCTCCCTTTCCCTCTGCTACACCTCTCCCTCTCTGTAGTGCTTGGCGAAGCCCTGCCAAGATCGCTGCTGCATCCACCACCACGCCGTCGTGCTGAACTCATAGATTGATCTTGGTGAAACGTAGGAAATTTTTTATTTTCTGCAACGTTCCCAACAAGAGCCTCCCTTATAAAGAGGTCCAACTCCCTCTAAACTAGCAATGTGGGACTAAACTTTAGTTCCACCTCTTGCCTTGCACTAATGGGATGCGTGGGCCTCTAGGATTTATTAGGAATTTCTAAAACTCCTATTGGGCTAGGTCCAAATGGACAAAAAATCCAGCAGTGATGACTGCCTCGGATAATGCATCATATACTAGTCATTACATTTCTTTCTATATGTTTATTGAGTTAAGTTTTTCAACTAGCTCCAGTGCCAAAAAAAATACACAATTAGATCGCCACACGACATATCTTGGAAGAACTCAGTCTTTTTAAGTTCTATAAATACCATGCCTGCTTGGGCATTGTTTTGGTCGGCAATGTTGAACATCTATTAAAGACATATTTATCCATATGTTTGCATACTTAAAGCACAATCCGGTAAAAAAATAGAGATACTAAATACTCCCACTATTTCTAAATATAAGTCTTTTTTGATATTCCACTATAGAGACTACATTCATATGTATATAGACGTCTTTTAAAATATAAGTTGACTCATTTTGCTCCATGTATAGTCTATAGTGAAATCTCTTAAATGGCTTATATTTAGAACGGAGGGAGTAGGAATTATCGCATCGCATCGCGTGATCCATCCACATTAGTACATTAATATAGCTGGAGGAATCTTTGCGAATGGGATCGCATCGCGTGATCCATCCGTATCCATGCATAAATATCTGAACGACTGAAGCATGCATGTGAGACTAGGAGTAACAACACACAAGGACAGGACATGGGTGACAGAGCGGATAATTCATCCTGGAGCCCGGACTCATCTGCTCCCTCTCAGCAAAAAAATCAAAAAAAATACTAGAAAAATTTAAAAAATTCCAAAGTTTTTTGTGGTGGTAGATAATTTGACGCGTGAGGTGTGTCCCAAAATTCAACTTATTTGGACATCTGAGTAGCTCTCGGCAAAAAAGACAAATCGGGTCAAAACAGTGTGTGAACAGTAAACATTTTTACAGACCCTGATTTTGTCTTTTTTTGCCGAGAGCTGCTCAGATGCTCAAATGAGTTGAATTTTGAGGCGCACCTCACGCGTCAAATTATCTACAACCACAAAAAAATTTAGAATTTTTTAAATTTTTTTAGTATTTTTTTTTTTGAATTTTTTTCTAAGCATGGGTGCAGCTGAGCCCGGGTGCAGATTAGCCGCACTTGACAGAGCTGCACATATTACTATGGGTCAGACTATGCTACATCTAGATGTGAGATAATATCTCACATCTAACAATGTCACATATAAGTATGATGTCAGCGCCACCTCACTTAATCATTTTTTTTGTTTTTTTGTTTGTTTGATTTTGTTTGTCAAAGCACAAAACAAAATGCATGCCTAGTTGCGAGTCGAGGGGTTGGTTTGCAATGGGGAGAACTATGAGCCCAGTCGCGAGTCGAAGGTAGACTTGCAATTGGGACAACTACGAAACTACGAGCCTAATTGCAAATCAATGGTCGACTTGCAACTGGGACGACATCAAAACTATGGGCCCGGTTGCGACTCGAGGGTGGACATGAAACTGGGATGAAAAACAAACATATACAGTTGCGACTCAAATGTGGACTTGCAATTGGGACACTACGAAACTAAGAGCCTAGTTGCGAGTCGACCGTGGACTTGCAACTGGGATGAAAGATAAAAATCGCAGGCCCAATTACGAGTAAAGGGTGGACTTGCAACTGAGATGAAAATCAAAACACATCCCAGTTGCGAGTTGAGGATGGACTTGCAACTAGGACAACAACAAACTATGGGCACAATTGCGAGTCGAGGGTGGACTTGCAACTGGGATGAAAAAAAAACACAAACTTAGTTGCGAGTCGAAGGTTGGCTTGCAACTGAGACACTACGAAAAATACGAGCCCAGTTGCGAGTCAAGAATCAACCTGCAACTGGGATGAAAAATAAATACATGCGTAGTTGCGAGTTGAGGTAGACTTGCAACTAAGACAACTAATTTACGATACGAGTTGCAAGTTAAGGGTGCACAACTCCATTGGGTGGACGAAAAGGGAGCCGGTGACGAAATGCAAGTGGATGAAGGATGGAACAGTTCCTCCATTGGATCGATGATACACTCATTTAGCTGGAGTGTCAAAACACACGCCATGGACAAACAAAAAACAGCTCGCTAGTCAATAACGTGAAAAAGCAAAAAAGACAACGGCCCGCCACACTCGTAAGGAGTTGTACACGGCCACCGTGCGCGACAGCGAGGTGCGAGCCAGCGCACGAATGAAACAGAACGGTTTGTGCGAATCTAAAGGCAAAGGATCCATTGGTACAGAACTTAGATGTGAGATAGCTATCTCACATCTAGATGTGAAATAGCAAAACTGTATTACTATATAAGCTACTGTACTACGTACTTATCTATCATGCATCTTGTTTGCAAGTTATATAAATAAATATGTACATAAAAGCAACTCCAACGAGTGGACTCATTTCGTCCGCACATATCTATTTAAGTCCACGCGAACAAAAACACTGCTCAACGTGCTGACCCATCTCTATTTTCTATTCGCTTTGTATCCGTATGGCCCATTTCAAGCGCAAATTTGTGTTGCATTTGGGTCCGAGGCGAACATAAAGAGGGCGCTCTTTGCGTCCTCCTCGTCTGCTGCATGTGAGGCTGGCCCACCTGGCACAGACTTACCACCTCCCACCTCTCTCTCCTCCTTTTTCTCTACCCAGCCCACGAGTCCCCGTACACCCGCGTCAGCAGCCGGCCTCGGCTCGCCTCCCCTCCCCCGCGCCCGGCCGTCGCAGCCGCTCGAGCCGGAGCACCACCGCGCCCCACGCCGCGCCTAGCCGGTGCTCCTACCCGCGCTCGCCCAGCTGCTCTCGTGCCTGGTTCGGAGCAGGACATGGACACCGCAGCTCCGCAACCCCGGGTAGCAGGAAGAGGCCCAACAACGCGGCGCCGAGCGGGACGAGGAGCGCGGCGTCGAGCGGGACGAGGAGCCCGGTGAGGCGCGAGCGACGAGGCACACGAGCCGGCACGGGGCCGCGGCGAGCCGCGGGGCGTGGCGGGAGCTGCTGCGGGCGTGAGCGGGGGCGCGGCGAGGGTTCCCGCGCCGGAGACGGCGACTGAGCTCGTCCCTCTCCCCTCTGGTGCTCGTCAACGCAGGTGACGCTCGTCCAGGCCGCGCCTCGCCGTGCCAGCAGGCGACGCTCGTCCCTCTCTCCTCTGGTGCTCGTCAACGCAGGCGACGCTCGTCCAGGTCGCGCCTCGCCGTGCCAGCAGGCGACGCTCGTCCTGGCCGCACCCGGCCGCCGGCCTCGCCTCGCGCCCGAGCCGGGCCTGTGTCGCTGCAGCCATCGGCCGTCTAGCCGCTGCCAACCCCGGTGCCTGCTACGTGTTCGACGAAATGCTAGGACGGACATGGCAAAAATGCGTCAAGCCACCCGTTGAACGTACATGCAGACCCAAATCAAAAAGCGGACGGCATGTTCGTTTGGCCGACCCAAACAAAGAAAAAGTGGACGAAATGCATGTCCGTTTGGGTTGGTCCGTTGGAGTGCTCTAAATCCTCCCGAGATGACACAAATTTTGTTTGAATTCGAGGGGGAAAAAAAGGGGAGATTTCAAACCGGCGGAGATGGGCCTCCTATTGACGTCAAAGGCCCACCTTCACTGCAGATTTGACTCCCAGTTGACTGATCCACGGGATTCCCGGATTCGTCGGCTTCAGAGTTACTGGTTGAGATCCCCTTTGGCCGCGACGACGGGGATGGACGCGGCGGCGACCACCGGCGACCTGCTCGCCGCGCTGGCGCCCTCCTGGAGCGCGGCGGTGGTGCTGGCCTCCTACCTCGCGTACCTCGCCGCCGCGGGCGCCCTCCTCCCCGGCAAGCTCGTCGCCGGCGCCGTCCTCCCCGACTCCTCCCGCCTCCACTACCGCTGCAATGGTGCCCCTCATCTCTCTCTCTCCCTCTGAGCCGCAAAGCGTTTCTCTTTCTTCCTCCGTCCGTCTGTCTGCTCAGCCGACTGACGCTCGTCTGCAGGTCTGCTCTCGCTGCTGCTGCTCCTGGGGCTCTCCGCGCTCGGCGTCTACATGGGCTGGATGACTCCCACGGTGAGATCCACAAAAGCCGACCGCATCCGCGAGATTCACGAAAAGTTATGTTGAATTGATCAGCGCAGCGATTGTTATTTGCTTGTAGGTCGTGGCTGACCGTGGGCTCGAGCTGCTGTCGACCACCTTCATTTTCAGTGTCATTGTAGGCGCCACTTCCTCTCTCCACATCCATCCTTATTAAGTTTTCTTTTATACAACTATGATGTAGTAAATTTAGACTTGTCGGAGACTCATGTATGAACCCAACTGTCACAATTTCAGTCATGATAAAGCCAGACTTGGGTAATACTCCCTCCGTCCAAAAATACTCGTCATCAAAATGGACAAAAAGGGATGTATCTAAAACTAAAAGAAGTCTTGATACATCTCCTTTTATTCATTTTGATGACAAGTATTTCCGGACAGAGGGAGTAGTATTGAACTTGAACACTTAATACTACTCCCTCCGTCCCAAAATTCTTGTCTTAGATTTGTCTAAATACGAATGTATCAAATCACTTTTTAGTATTAGATACATCCGTATCTAGACAAATCTAAGACAAGAATTTTGGGACAGAGGGAGTATTTGGTAACATCTTGTCACAGATGGAACAAATCAAATAACATCCTCTCGATTAACTCATGTCATGATGTTCCATTTCAGGTCAGTTTCCTGCTCTATTATACTGGGTTAAGGTCCCGCCATCAAAGTTCTTCATTGAAACCACATGCTACTGGGAGCTTCATACAAGACTGGTACTTTTGCGGAACTTTATCTCACACAAACAGGACCTTTTATTTTATTTTCAGAAGTCCGCTCCTGTTTTCTTGTTTGATGTTAGATATCACCTTGTCTATTCCACTCCCGTTTTCCTGTTTAATGATGTTAGGTGCCACTTTGTCTAACAGGTGGTTCGGAGTGCAGCTTAATCCCCATTTCATGGGAGTTGACCTCAAGTACGTTGGCAGTACCTTCCTTGTTTTCTTACCTAATTGTGACACTTGCTGGGAAATTTGGGATGGCATATGATTGCTGTGAAAATTGAGTTATTGGTTTGCTGGTGTAGCTACTCCCATTCATTTGATAATGGTCTTGTTAACCCATTGATTAATTAACAGCAAATTTTTATTTTCTTGAGATCTCCTGCCTTCAAAACTGACATGCTAGCTTCTATTTTTATATAGATATATCTATAAAAATTAATATTCCTTATAGACTGAAGGATAATTGGAAATGAAATTCGGTATGCTGCATAGCTATTTTTTATTTCTGCATAATTGTTTCTCACAGGTCATATCATTCCTATTTTGTGGTGGCAATTAGTGTGAATACAAGTTAATGTTGAATGTTAACTATATATATTCAGTTTCAAAAACTTTCCCCACATAACTTTATCACTAAAACAGTAAAAAATACATGAATCAGAGTAAACTATGGACCCGATCATGAATGTTATTTTCTTCTGTTTATCATGGTTGCAGGTTCTTTTTCATAAGGGCTGGAATGATGGCATGGTTGTTTATCAACCTCTCTTTGCTTGCAAAGAGCTACCTAGCTGGTTCAGTTAACCGTGCAGTCATTCTTTACCAATTCTTTTGTGGGGTATTGAACACTGACAACTACTTATTCCATCATCAGCTACTATATTATAAGTGAAATTAATTGTGCTTCTTCATGCAGTGGTATATTATAGATTACTTCATTCATGAAGAATTCATGACCTCCACGTAAGTACATGTTGTTTCTAGTAAATAGATGAAGTAATTGCAATATGCCAGAGTTGTTGCTTATAGAATGAATACGGGGCTTATGGTGGCAAGGATGAAGCTTCATATTTCATAGTTTTTTTTTACTTCCTGTGATTCGCTTGACCATTATTTCCAGATGGGACATTATTGCTGAAAGGTTGGGATTCATGCTGGTGTTTGGTGATCTAGTTTTCATTCCTTTTACCTTCACTATTCAGGTATTCCGTTTATGGAAAAAGGGTATTATTTGAATTGCTAATATCTACTCATGCCGCTACTGAATATAATTTGCTCAGCGCATTATTCCTAAATTTGTTCTCTCAGTTATATGACTATGAAATTTGTAGGTTCATGTAATAGTATCCCCGTCTCTTGTGTTAACTTACGAAGGTCGACAAATGAGCTGCTCACCAAGTTTTATGATGTGTTGTTGACCAGGGTTGGTGGCTTCTGAGAAACAAAGTGGAGCTGCCACTTTTGGCTTCCGTTGCTAACTGCATCATTTTCCTTATTGGGTACTCTTTTCTGTGTCCCTCACAAACCTTCCATTGGATTACCTATGCTGTATAATCTGCTTCTTGCATTGTAATATCTTTGACCAAACTGCTTCATTTTGCACACAGCTATCTAGTGTTCAGAGGTGCCAACAAACAGAAACATTTGTTCAAGAAGGACCCTAAAGCTCCTATATGGGGTAAACCTCCCAAAGTTGTTGGGGGAAAACTACTTGTATCTGGCTACTGGTAAGTTCTACATTCATCTCATGGGACCTGCGGTTGTTTTTCTTCTTTGTCCACTAGTTATATATGCACATCTTGTTCTGAACTGTGTACTGTTGGCTATTTTAGCAGCATCGTGTATTGCAATTGATCTCTTTCTGTTTAATAGAGTGTAAACAAAATAGAGCCCGCATACACTTTTTTTCTTCTTCTGAATATTTAGCCGGTCCTGTTTAGTCGGATGAAGAAAAATGCAAGGGAAGCACATGTAGGTAAGTAGCAAGTAGGTAAACAGTAAACACAAATGTGATTCATACTAGTTAGAACACTGCACGCCTGCCTACCTAAATGATGTTCACGACAGATTTATGCAACCATTGCACTTGACTGAACAGCAGTGGTTTTCTAGACATATTAAGTTTTTCAAACCTTGGATCTCCCCTTGTCTCTTGGGAGTAATCATGCATGCTAACTGCTGCTATGCCGAATGTAAAAAATATAAAGAACAAGTCCCCTCTTTGTCGTTGCGTGTAGGGGCATTGCAAGGCACTGCAATTACCTTGGAGATCTGCTTCTGGCACTCTCATTCAGCTTGCCTTGTGGAGCCAGGTGAGAGATACCCTTTCTGTGGCATAAAAAAAATCATCTCAATCCAATCAGGCACGAATAACCTTTGAACTCTTACATTTTTCTGCTGCAGCTCCGTGATCCCGTACTTCTACCCGACCTACCTGCTGATCCTGCTGATATGGAGAGAACGAAGAGACGAGGCGAGGTGCTCAGAGAAGTACAAGGACATCTGGGCAGAGTACTGCAAGCTTGTGCCCTGGAGGATTCTACCTTACGTGTACTGATTAGTTAAAGAACCAGAAGGCCATGTTGTATTGTTGTTGTAGACCATGATGATCATGCATAACTAAATGGTAAGTTCTTTTGTACGTTGTTCTTGGATATCCAGTTTTAAATTGAAGCTGCATCGATCTTCTAGCTTGGTAGAGGAAGTGCTGCTAATTTTCATTTGAGCTGTCCTTTTTCTTCTTCATCACTTGCTATTGCTGAAAGAAGAGAATACCGTAGGAAAATTGCAGAAAGTTTTTGGTTTGTTTTTCCAGCACGCGTGGTGGAATTACTAGGAAACATGAGAGCTAGATAGCTGTTTGTAGAACCATGCTGAACTTTGAAGCCATCAAGCTGCTTGCGTCCTGCCTGATATTATGTTTGTACCCTAGTATCGTTGAGCCAGATAAATTAACACAAAGCGTGATACAAAAATGCTTGCTGGTAGCAGCCTACTAGTAGGCCTTGTGTATATATGACAAGAGCATAAATGACATAGCTCAACGAGTGGCCAATAAACAGTTACAGCAAAAATATTAAACACATGACAACAACAAGATTGTGAGGAAGTAGTAGTTTTTTTGAAATGATAGCAAGTAGTAGTAATAGTAATTAACACACAAACATAAATGCATCTTATGAAAACAAGCAAACAGGTTCGTAAATCAATCAACCACACATGTAGGACGCAGCCGACCGAGTCTGCGCTCCGGATCGGCCTCGTCTTCCGACCCTTGATGATCTCATGCTTGTGATTCGGGCATCGTCGGAAGCTTGAGTCTCCGGCGGCATCTGAAGCTTGTCGACCAAGCTCTTGGCCCCCTTGAGCATGAGCGCGAGCCAGACGTAAGTGACGAACTCGCCACCTTCACCCAGGCTCTTGGCGTGCAGGTAGCCCCTGCACATGCTGGCGGAGTAGCAGAGCATGCCCAGCCACACCCGGTACATGAGCATCCACCGCGCCGTAGGGTCCCGTATGTCCTGCAGCTCCTTCGCAAGCTTGCATGCCTCTGAGATGTGGACGGAACCTTGGCTTGTGTCATCATCTCCATTGGCTGACTTGTGCTCACCCTCCGCCATGTCGGCAATGAGCCCCTTTAGTTGCTCTTTTTTGGCTCAACTCATCCTTGTTCGACAAAAAGGAGGACTTGATCTCCTCCATGGCCTCGGAGATGAGATGCTGCCTGCTGCCTGCTGCCGGACAGAAGCATCTCGGGATTGAAATTCAGCAGGTGCGCCATGTAGTTGGATATTGCAAATGTGCACCTCATACGAAGCTTTAATATTGAGCGCTCCGCCCTCCTCCTCCTCCTCCTCCTCATTTCTTGCTGTGGTACTCCTTGTATTTCTACTACTTCTCCTCTTCCTTCTTCTAGTCCTCCCCCAAATATGCACTCCGTGTGAAGCTGTACTGTAATGATGGGTCCCTCCTCATTTGTTGCTGTGGTACTTGTTCTAGTCCTACTACTCTTCCTTCTTCTACTACTACTCCTTCTCCTATTCCTTGTACTACTCTTCCTCCTCCTCTTTGTAGTCCTCCACCATATCTTGCTTCTTGTTCACCAACATCATCAACCAAGTGATCGCAGCGGAAGCAAAGATCAGTGGCGATGTGCCACAGAAGGACGCTCCGGTCGAATGAGACGCGTAAGCATTTTTTTTATCTCCACGCCACAATGCTCTTGCTGCTCCTCGCTTAGAGCCCAGTTGGTGGGATTGAAGATCCTGTAACTCGCAAGGTCTCGGTCTAGTGCATCCACCAGATCTGCAATCACAGTTTGTGTGAGCATTCTGTGGTACACTTGACCGCAGTTGAAATTGCAAGTGAAGCCCATGCTCCTGGCACACATGTATATCCACCCGATGCTCTTGTCACCTTTCCCGAAGAGAGGTGTCTACGAGGTTATAGTTGGGCATCGTCTCGCACAGGGCTGTAACATTTGTCTTGGACATTAGGTGGTAAGGTATAGGAGCCGGTGGATGGACGGCGCGAGGACATCCATGGTGCTTGCCGCTAAGTGCAAACAGCGTCAGGGCGGCGATGTGCAGGATCGGGACCAGCAGCCGATGATAGAGCAGGTAGAGAGGATCGGGGCCTCCAACGACATGCTGCCTGGTGTAGTGGAACTCGAATATGATCCGCAACCAGCGCGGCAAGGCTCTCTCAGCGATGACCGGAGGTTGCACAACATCCTCCAGCCTACCAAAGACATGTCTGCAAGCACCATTAAGACTCTGTCTGCCTCCGTCAAGATCACATGCCTCCTGCTGCCCTCCAGGGCCGGTCTTGATATTTCGGGGGCCCAGGGCAAAATTACAACCCGGGGCCCCTACTATAAAGATCAAAATAATAATCTCATTTCTTTTTAGATTCATTCCTTTATTTAACTTATTATTGTCTATTGTTTCAAAATAAAACAAAAATTGTAAATAGTGTATTCCTTTACTTACTTATTTAGAAAAATCGAATACTGACAGAGGGCAAACATCAAGATGAAAGGTTTAAAGTTAAAAAGCTTCATTTGCAACAATAAAAGATCATTTACCTACCCGACGGCTACGGGAGTCTGAGTGGCTTTATTATATAACCATGTTTGGATTGAAGTTATGTGTGTATAGCTGAGACCTTCTTCCAATTTTTAAGTTAAATTTGCAGTCATGATGATTTGGAGAGAGAATGCAAAGAACGACAATCGAACACATAGCAGGCAACTTTTTCAATAGATAAGGCGATTGATGTTGTGTCGACAAAGTCCAGACAAATAGAGCAACGGGCACACGAAATTAAAATTTTGTACCGCATAATATGCGAGACCTTCTAAGATCTGACTGCTACTGCACCATATGAACGTGACCAACTAGAAAGAGGAGGTTAGGGATGACCTTATAAGTGGGGTGGCTTCATCTTGCACATGAGAGGCATCTCAAGAACGAGGGATAACACAAACGGGACCGGGGACCTGGAGGAAGACCAGCCGGCCGCATGGCGGAGAGCGATCTACATCGGCGTCGCGACTCGCGATCGGGGCCCTCGGGGGAATAGGATCGTGAGAAGCGGCGAACTTGCGATGGGAAGAAGGAAAATAGGGATTTCTCCGTGCGCTCTAGGTCGATGCCTCCTTATGGTCTGGGCGATGGGCTCCTTGCGAACCCTGGAGGGGGCCCCTAGATTTCGGGGGCCTTGGGCGGCCGCCCCCCTGCCACCCCCTCAGGGCCGGCCCTGCTGCCCTCCTCCTCGTCACCTGTGCCGGCGAAGCAGTTGTTCACCCGGAAGAAAAACTGGTTCATGCGCTCCCTCCATTTGGAAGGCTTCTTCTTGCCTTGGCCCCCGGACGGGGACGATACGGCCGTCGGTCTCCTGGCTTTAGCTTTGAGAGCCCATGGCTTCTCGCTGAAGCTGACGACCCCGACGACGAAGAGAAGGACCGCGGAGACCAATAGCTTCGGGTTGCGGGAACCCCGTTTTCCCCGCCCGATCTTCCTCTTCCTGCCCGACTCATTTTGAAAACACTGGAAGCTGCTGATCCCAGCGTAGCATTCAAGACAATTGTTCCTTCCTCAAGACGCGCATTCAAGACAATTGTTCCTTCCTCAAGACGCAGACGCGCGGGAGGGCGTGTACTTGCGCATGGGGGCAGCCAGCAGGAGGAACCACTGAAGGCCCATGCTGCCCAGGACGAGGACGCGCAGCTGCCAATCATCCCACCATTGCAGAGCTCCTCTCCTCTCTACTGTGAATGTGATAATATATTCCAAGTACACACGCACGTTCTCTACGTACTCTATGCTTTATTAAGGAGTTTGACTTGATTTATGCACCAAACATATTTGTACTACCACTTGGAAGTGCACTCGGTAATAACCTCAGAAATAAACTATTTCCACTCCTTGTCACATGTCTTCTTACTACACTACTCTTGATCACCAACATAGAAAACTGTCGCAAACACAGAGTCTCCATAATGCAGCCTCCATAATCGTGAGACCCGTTTGTTAATCAGATATTGTTTTCCCACACGTGAAGTTTACTTCCCGCCATATGGAATTATACGTAACTGCCATATGGAGCACCCTCCAAAAGGCAGTCTTGAAACGCCATATATGGCAACTGGGAGGCCGGATATGAAGGATGCTCCATAATTATGGTGGTTCCTGACAACATGGCAACGTTAACACGTCAGATTTGGTCACGCCGCGTCCACAATTCTTTGTCATGAAATCCCCAGATGGATTAACTTCGACCTCTCATATGGAGGTGATTTTGGGCTCCTTCTCATCCATGCGGAGGGGTTTCAGCTCGGTGTCTAGCACCACGAGATGGATAACAATGGTGAAAACAGTTGGGAGCTGGTGGACAGATTTTGTGTGCGTGCGGCCATGAGGAGGATACTATGCTGGTTGGGGTCGGGGATCATGCTGAATTTGTTTTCATGTGTCTGCAGACAAATGGGGCTATCATTTTCGTTAACCCAAGGAGCGGGAATGAAATGACGGCATGTGGCATGTATTGCAATCGTATCGCACTTCGTGTTTATGATGAGACAACAATAATGGATGCGAAATATGAAAGTTAATTTGACTATGTATCATATGATTGGTTGCCCTATTGATACACTTGTAACTATGAAATTTGTCCGACCGTTTTCCACAACGAATATTTCAGCTTTGTGGGGTGCAGAAATCTTCTCATTATCCGATTTTTTTAGGGAATCTCGCAAAACTTCTACTCCCTCCGTTCCAAAATAGATGATCCAATTTTATACTAACGTTAGTGCAAAGTTGAGTCAATCTATTTTGGAACGGAGGGAGTACTCACTAACAATGATTACAGGAACTAAATAGGATCATAAGGTAGTCCAAGCCCTTGTGGCCTCGTTTGTACTGTTCTTTCTAATATAATACAGGGGGCGTGTTTGTTCAAAATAATAATAATCTTCCTATTGATATATAAGCATTCAGCTGAAGGGAGGAAGTAGAGGTCGAAGCCTCACTGCTGCAGTACCAAACGGCCTTCTAAATGTCAGCACTTTATTAGTAGTAGTGAACTGTGGAGCTCTCCCCAACGAAGCAGCAGCACCAAATAGCCTCCTGCTAGATGCACGATAATTTGCAGCTTGCTGAGTCCTCCTTCCCAGCAAACCAAGTCTACAATTTTGTATGGCAATTGTTGAACAAGATTCTTCGTCATACTCCATCCGTCCACTTGTCACATAAATGGATTGAAATGGGTGTATCTAGAACTAAAAATCCGTCCACTTGTCGCAGAAATGGATGTATCTAAAACTAAAAATACGTCATCCATTTCTTCGACGAGCAATTCTGGAATGAAGTAGTATAATTTTAGAATTGCATAACTAAAAATATGTCATAACATTATTAAATTCTCAGCTCCTTCTAAACATGTCAAAACAGCTGTAAAACAATATATTCTCAAACAGAGATTACAGATGTTCTTGCAGATTTCCTTTTCCTGGTTACTGAAACATTATTAATCATACTGAATGCCATAATTCTAAAGCCAGTGATGCAAAGTTATGATTGAAAGCAACAAAACAAGAAAGTTTGCAAGGCCTAGATAGCACATTAACACTCGATAACTGCGAAAGGAAAATATATATGAAAGTACACCATGAGTCCAATGTAAAGCAAGAACATTCCATCCCTAGTTGGCCATCTATTTTTAGATGTTTTGATTCATGCATATCAAGCCCAAAGTGCAAACACGTAAATGAAGCAACAGAGAAAAGGGGCACTTTGCGGAAAATACTAAACCACAAGGGGCACTTTGCGGAAAATACTAAACCACAAGTACGAGAGCTCAGGTACTATTCGGATATTGTTACCTCTCCTGATGCAGCATGCTGCTAAGAGTATCTCTAGCAGACCCCGCATAAATGGTCAAACCCGCAAATTTTTTGTGTTTTACAGTTTTGGGCGAAAAATGTGTCCAGAACAGAAACCGTAAAAATAGTCCAACCCGTAAAATTTTTAAGGGCCACCGCAAATGCACACCCGAAACCCTTATCTTTGGAGGTTGGAGGGCCGAATATAGGGGGCCCCGTATACCGGTCAAACCTCGTCGGAGCAAACACGCCGCCGCGGAGTTTGCCGGAATCTGCCCTAAACTCGCCGGAATTCATCACCGCACATCTGAAAGGCCGCTAGACGCCGCAATCGATCGCCGCCGGTTCGAATTGGACGAGCTGGACATCGTCGTGGCCTCCCATGACCTCAGCCTGGCCGCCGGAATCCTCCCGACGCGGCAGGCAAAGGGGCACGGCTCGCCTGACAATAGAGCAAGGCGCGGACCACGGAGGCGACGGGGCATGGCCGGCAAGGCTGGGCGTGGGCGACGGAGGCGACGGGGCGTGGCTGGGCGCGACCGACGTGGTGATGGGGCGCGACCGATGGGCGATGGGGCGCGACCGACGGGCGACATGGCATGGTCTGCGGCCGACGGGGCGCGGCCGGCGGGGTTGGGCGCGGCCGGCTGGAGGAAGGGGCGGCAACGGCCGGACTGGAGGAAGGAGCTCTTTATTCCGGTTTTACAGTATCTGTTCGGCCGCGCTAGTTTTCGACCCGCAAACGCGATCTTCGTGAAACTGCAAACGCGTTTTGCGGCTCAAGTTTTTGCGGGGTCTGCTAGAGTTGCTCTAAGCCATTCCTGTAGGTATGTTGGTTACAAGATCACCTAATTTTATGCAACAAAAAATATTAGGGCTTGTTTCCAAAGTTTAGAAAGAATAACAAAAGGGCTGCTTCTAAGAAACAGGTGGAAGAAATAAATAGGTAATCAACAAACTAATCATATAGTTGCATTCAAATCATTATACATAGGGATGCAAGTTTGGAACTTTTAGGGTAGCCTCCAATCCTACTTAGTTCAATCAAATGAATTAAAGTTTAAAAATGAACTGAATTCTGAAAAGTTAGTTCATTTAGTTGAACTAGGTCAGCGGGTACCCTCAAGGTTCTAAATTTGCATGCCTTGTTTTTTTCCTGGTTTTACTGGTTTTATCTCTCTTTTTTTCATTGTTTCTTTCTCGCTTTTCACTTGTTTTTTTGCCTTTTCTTTCTTTCTTCATTTTTTTTCATTTTTCTTTTGCCGTTTCTATTGCTTTTCTTCAATTTATTTTGTACCTTTTTATATACATGTTCACATCTTTTTAATATATGATTAACATTTTTGAATACTTGTATTTGTTGGCATTTTCTTTCTTCCATATACATTGTATTGGTACACACGTTTAACATTTGAAAATACATCATTAAAAATTTTTAACTTATATTTTTTATGTCTAATTTTATCATAAACATTGCACTTCTTCTGTATACATCAGGAGCACTTTACATATACATGTTTAGTATTTTCCAAATATATGATTAATATTTTTCGAAACATATATTTTTTATGTCTATTTTTTCATACACATTGTATATTTTTTATACATCAAAAACATTTTCTATATACATGTTTATCATTTTTCAAATACAGATTTAACATTTTTTAAAACTTAAATGTTCTAATGTCTACTTTTTTCGTGCACATTGTACAGTTTTGTATGCATTAAAAAATGTAAAGTGTTTTTTGTAATATGTATCTATAATATTTGTAAGTATAAAAATGGTAAAAAATAATGTAAAAAAGGAAACAAACAGCGAGAAAACGAGCGCTTTTGAGGATTGTGGCCTCCCGCGTGCTGGGCCAGCCCAGTCCGATGCTCGCTTTAAACGAGGCAACAATACGTCTCGCTATAAGTGACACATAGACGCACTCAACAAATGCTCAAACCAATTGTTCACTCTCCTCTAGTCCTATTTAAAAAATCTCGTCATAAAAGGCCTCAAAAAGTAATATTGTCCTAAAAAAATAAAAATAAAATAAAATGTGCACTCTATGTCCAAAAAATAAACACCCCTCCCCAACACACACACACACACACACACACACACACACCTCCTCACCTTGTCATTCTCAAAAAAGAAAAAACACCTCTTGATTAGCCCATTTTAACTGAAGTTCCAACAACGTCACTTTGTTGGTTGCCCCCGACATATATGTAGTTTTACACATGTCGATTTTGATGTCAACTTGTGAAGTTTATCACGATCCTTCTGGAGGCCGGCTAGTGCAGATGACACCATTTGCACGTCAACGCAACGACAAGGATGGAGATGAGAGAGAGGGGAGTGAAACACTGACGATGAGCCCTTTGTATAGTTCAACATACTACCAATCAATAGTCAATCAGTGTGAACTTTACTTGCCGCACTGACGGCGGGCTCATCCATCAGAGTTAGTGTCAAAACGCATTCAACCGAGCATTTAGCGTTTTCCGAAAAAATGTGTTGACATTCTTTCGTGGAGTCCCTTCTTGCATCTTAGATTGAAAAAAAAAAAAGAATGCCCCTTAACAGAGACCTTTCTTTGGATTTTGAAAAGGATGTAGCGCAGCTTGGTAGCGTGTTTGCTTTGGGTACAAAACATCACAGGTTCAAATCCTATCATCCCTGCCTGTTACTTCTTTCTTCTTTAAAGGCAAGTAGGCAGTAGCGACGAGATCAATTGAAGTAAAGTGGGTATAACTTGCATTTGTGGAGAAAGTAAAATTCATCAACGCAGGTGGTGTGCAAATCGTTAACGATTACGTGGGTTCTTGAGAATTCGACAGTAATTGCGTTTGCTACATGCAATTTTAGTCTTTTCGACGTGCTGCATGCGCGTGAGAATCTCAGGCAGCTTTGGGTGGATAACATTCTCAAACATTTCAGCCAACGAGAGTTTTTAGCAGAATCAGCGTCGCGAGGCGCGCTCGTCCACCTCCTAATTTAGTTAGGCGCCCTCTCCCTCTCTCCAACCACCGCCGCGACGCGCCCGCAGCGCAGACCCACCACCCCGCCCCGCCACCGGAAGCTCCCGACGGACGGATCGCACGCGCAGCAATGCAGCAGCCCGCGTCCCCGGCCTCGCGCAGCGGCACCCCGCGCCTGCGCAGGCGCGACTCGTCGGCGCCCAACACCCCGCGCGCGGGCCCCTGCGGCCTCGGCGGCGTCGGGAGGCGGGGACCACGTTCCGGGAGGACGTCGGCCACGCGGCCGCCGAGACCTACCTCGTCACGCGCCTCACCTTCATCCTCCTCCGCTCCCTCGGGTACGTAAGCTTCAATGTCTCTAGTACCACACGATCGCATTGATCTGATCCACGTTTGGCGGCGAACACCACACACAAAATCCTCCAACCGATCCAAACATTTTCATTCCCAATATACAATGACTGCCTAGTAATCTATATATATTCACCAAAATATCCAAGCGCATATTATGGTATTTTTGCCCAAAAGAAGTCATATGATTGAGGCTGACCATTTTTTTACACTTCCTTTATTTTTTTCAGGGTAGGCTCTCGGTGGATATGTCAGCTTCTTGCGCTCCTCATATATGCAGTTTTACTTATGCCCGGTTTCATAAGAGGTGCGTGAAAATCAAGTTTATCTTCCGTCTCACCATGTTAGTTATCATCAGGATGGCCACATATTCTTGGCTCTTGCCAATAAGTGACTTTTAGCTTGTTAAATTAAACTGCCCTCTGCACAATAGGTAGATGTTGTTGAAGCTTTCTCATCATTTCTAACATATGCATTTCATTCATTTGGGTTGCCCAGTTGGGTACTATTATATTTTCTCAAGTCAGGTCCTTAGAAGCATAGTGTATGGAGACCAACCAAGAAATAGGTAAGAAGAGTTACATACCGCAGAAACAAAGAACATCTGCTTTTTTAGCCGTGTTAGCGTTACTGAAAATCATAATATACAGGTTGGATATGTACATACCCACTGATCGTAGCAAACCCAATCCAGTTGTGGTATTTGTAACTGGTGGAGCTTGGATCATTGGGTGAGTGAAAATTTTCTCAAGACGTCTTTCTCCGTGACTTCCATTGTTGATGGTCATGATTCTCTGTAGTTACAAGGCGTGGGGTGCCCTTCTTGGAAGACGGCTAGCAGAGCGTGGAATTATAGTCGCTTGCATTGATTATAGGTGCTTACCCTTTGATGGCATTTCTATCTAATTTCATGACTTCTAGACGAGTGAGTATCGATTTACATATGCCTGGTTGATTAAATATGTAAATATATCTTGCAGAAATTTCCCTCAAGGAACAATAAGTGACATGGTCAGTGATGCTTCTGAGGCAATTTCATTTATTTGTGATACTGTTGCTAGCTATGGAGGAGATCCTAATCAGTAAGTGATCCTTCATTATATATTTATATCACAGTACACTACTATGGATGGACTATTTGAAACATTAGATAGACAGCGGTTTTTTTTATCATGAAGGAACTATGCACCGCACTTGAATATCTGATCCTTTTCGGAGGTGATTCTATCCAAAGTCGTTGTTGTGTTGATCTATAGCACTAGTGTCTGAATGACTTAGATGATTGAAATGTATTCTGCGTATATTAAGGATAAGCGCATTGAATTTCATTTCTGGATGGACCAGTGTTATCTGTACCTACGTCGAGCGGGCTGTAGAAACACACCTGCCTGCCTGGCCTAATGCAAAAATCAAGATGCACAATTTAGATTATTGTATTTGCAAATAAATCAAGCACAAAATAACTTTGTAGCAATATTTCCTTATGCTTTTACTAATGAGTTTTGTCAATACATGAAACTTATTTATCATCAACCTATCAGATTTACTTTTTGAGCTCTGCAGCCGTTCTGCCTTAGAACCCGTCTATTAAGATTTTCAGCTTCGACTACATTAATAAACTTATTTACAACCAACCTTCAGGATTTACTTGATGGGTCAATCAGCAGGAGCACATATCGCCGCATGTGCTCTCTTGGAGCAAGCAGTTAAAGAATCTCAAGGAGAAGAAATTTATTGGAGTGTTACTCAAATAAAATCATATTTTGGTTTATCTGGAGGGTGAGCTCTTAAATGAATTGTCATCTGTTTCCATTATATACATGGATGATAGTTGTTCTCAATCAACTTATCCTTAACCGCCTCTTAAGAACGTAGTCATACATGTAGGCAGTGTCTGATACATGTTTGCACCTTCTGATAGTTACACCAAAACTTCTATTATAATGTCACAAGCATTTTCCTCTTCTTAATACAAAAGCAGAGCATCTACCATTTTCAGTCAAAAAAGTCACAACCATTTTAGAGCATTCCAGTAGCTTCCCAAAAAACATTCCCCTGTAAGTGCTTATTGGGGCTCTGCCGATATATTTTGGATTGGGATGTATATACAACATGTACAGCGAGGTATAGAATGCTAGAGCAACGATCTGTTTCAGCTGGTCTCAGATACATATCTAGTGATACAACCATCCATGACATATATATACTCATTTATTTGCAGATACAACATGCAAAATTTGGTTGATCATTTTCATAAACGTGGTCTTTATCGTTCAATTTTTCTCAGGTAATATCATGATTGAAATTTGATTTATAAGTGTTGTTCCAACTTTCCTTTAGTAACACTTAAGTAAAAGTACTCAAGAAATTATAAGCTGTTTATTTCAGCATAATGGAGGGAAGGAGATCATTGCCACAGTTCTCTCCGGAAATTATCGCTAAAAAATTAACTCATGGAGTCATAGCTCTACTTCCTGAGATTGTACTTTTTCATGGAACAGGAGATTACTCGATACCATCGTCTGCTAGGTTGGACACTTAACTCTTGGCAGATGCTTAATTTGAACGCAATGTTTTATACATTAAGTGGCTATGCCTTTTCTGTTCCATCATTTGGCGCTTTCCAAAGTTATTAGCATCAAACTGAAATTTGAATATGCGAAGTCAAAGGTAGTCATTCCAAATTATTTTTGAATTAAAACATTTCTGTACATTAAAAAACTTAAATTGGCAGTATAATCCAAAATGTATGGTTTCGCTGTTCTTCAATGTGTAGTTAGCACAATTTTAACCACTATATTTCTGCTTACCGTATTCTTATGTTCTTGTTCCATCTTCAACCTTCCAACCATTCTGTTTTATGTGCAGTAAAATTTTTGCGGATGTCCTCAAAAAAGCTGGTGCAAAAGCTAAAGTACAATTGTACAGAGGAAAAACCCATACTGATGTATTTGTACAGGTCAGTTATCTTGAATATCAGCTAGACTTCTGATGACCTGCCACTTCATTAATTTTGTGATCTTTGCTAACTGTGATTGGGGAAACCCCTTTGACATTGCATCAGCAACGATCGATGAGCAGACTTTGATGCTCTTTGTGTTTTTTTTATCGGAGTTCGATAGGATGCAGATAATTAGCACACTGAACACTACTTTGTTTTCTGGAGTTGGAAAGGAACTTTGCATCGATATCTTTTTATTTTTCTTGCTTGGATAAAGCTAGTCGTCTGAAAATAATATTGCTCTGAGGTCCTGACTTCATTTTTTCAATCCAGAATTGATTGTTTGAAGTTCTGACTTTGTTTTTCATTGTAGGATCCACTTAGGGGTGGCAAAGACCCACTGGTTGAGGATGTGGTTTCTATAATCCACGCCGATGATGATTCGGCACCTAGCCCTGAGCGCCTGGTTTCCGAGTGGCGGATAATGTTGGCCCGGCAAATCAGCCCATTTTGAACAGGTTTTGATTCTCTTTACATGCCAAGCCTTAGTGTTGGTGTTTCACTTTGATTTTTTTTTCCAGTAATGATGTACTAATGAATTTGTTTGTATGCATGCAGGTAGATTATTTCATCAGCCATTAATTTGCTTGTTTATTATACTGTTCAACACGAATGCACTAGAATGCAAGAATCTGGGCACGTGTGTTCTAAGATGAGGAATTGCATGAGGTCAAGCAACGGAGCTTCAAAATTGTCATAGTTTGGAGAATTGTCATAATTCTTTTTTTTTGAAATTGTCATAGTTTTGATAATACCAAGCAACGGAGCTTCAAGCTCACCTGTGGCAGCATGTTCGCACTGAATAAAATATAGGTTGTAGGTAATATATAGCAAAAATTCCGGGAACATAGATCCGCGTTTGTATAGTTGGTACAATTACAAATATGAAGCAATTCATTGAAATTTAGATATAATGCTTTCGTACACAAGAGACTTGTTCCTGCAATGTGCATAATCAAATTCGCACTATGTTTCACAGCTTGAGTCATAAAATTGAATGATACTTGATGGAAGTGGGCCACATTTATATTCTCCCTAAATATCATATTTATCGAACTGAACCCGCGCACGCTCCGCTAGGGTTTCGCCTGCGCCGCCGCCGGCTCCCCCGTCGCGGGTAGCCGCGCCCGCGGCTGGCGCCCGCCGCCGCGAGTCGTCGCTCTCACCCCCTCCCCTCCCTCCCCTGCTCGGGCGATGGTGGCTGGCGGCGGTTCTCCTCGATGGGCAATGGTGCGGCTCGGCGGCGGGGTTCCGCGGGTCATGCGATCCTGATGCGGCGACGCGGCCGTTGGCTGCGGGACGCGTGGTGGTGCGGCCGGCCACCGGCCTCCTCTCCGCCCAGATCTGGGCCCTTCTAGGCCCCAGCTGGGTTGGGGCGGGCCGGCGCTCCGGCGTGCGGCCCTCTGGTGTAGGTGGCGTGGCGTCGGGGGCTGCGGGTGGTGGCGGCTTTGTCGGCCGATGTGCTGCAGCGTGGCGACAGGGGTTGTCCGGTTCCTTTGGGTCCGGCCGGGCCTGTGCGGGCCTGGTAAGCTCCTATCGTCACGTCCGGTCGGCTCCGCGGTGGCGGTGGTGGTAGTCCCCTCCCGTCGGCTGAGTTGCGGATGCCCCCGAGCTCGTTGGCTCCTCGTCCCTCCTCCAGGTCTCGTGTCGGCGGTTCAGAGAGACAGCGATGATGGTTCGGTGACTGTGGTGGCACATGTTGGTGGGCGGTAGTTCTGGTGGAGCACTTCAGATCATCCGGGGTGGTGGTGGTTGTTTGGGTTGGGAGAAATCCCTGGTGGCTCGTCCGTCATTGATGCGGTGACACCCACGGGCGCCGCCGGACCTTCCTGAAGGGCGTCGGATATACCCCTTGCCTACTGCCCTCTGCGTACTAGGGAAACCGTTGGACTTGTCCAAGCAGCAGTGGCGTCGTCGTCGTATTCCTTCCTGAAGGTGCTGCTCGGTACGCGGCGACTCAAAGTGCTAGAAGGGCGGTACTTCTCCGGAGGGTGCAGCGGTCACCAGCCATCATTGTTTCGTTGATCTGCCGTTGTTGGCATTTGTTTCTCTTTCTTTTCTCTCCTTTTCTTTTGGGCTTGTTTGTGCTGCGGTCCAGCAAGCTCGTTGTATCGGTTGGTTGCTTTATAATTTAAAGCGGGGGGAAACCCTTTATCGTAAATATCATATTTATCCTCGTGTCGCCCCACGCGAGATCTCGAGGGCACAAGCCCTTGAGCCACCATGCTCCGTCCTGCACCTGATCCCTCGCCGTCGCCTAAGGCTGGCGCCAGCTAAGTCTGAATCGCATCCAAGGAAGGTGGCGGCGGGGTCGTGCTGCTCCGTCCCGGTGGAAGGGGTGGAGGGCCCTGGATCTAAAGGGGCGTCTCCGTCTGGTCATGTGCTGCTCCCTTATGGAAGAGGGCCTCGGATAAAGGGCGGCCTCCTGGTGTGGACTCCATATTCGGTGGCACGGCGGGGCTAGGCTAGGCTGGGCTGGGGTGGCTGGAGACCACCGGCCGGTTGGCGTGGCTAGCTGACACGGTGGCTAATGGCGCCTATCTGTCCTCTACCTCCATTCCCTGCTAGGTGCGCTACGTCTCACCGGCACGCTGGATGCTAGTCGGTCACCGGGTGGGGCGGAGCGGGTGGGGCGGATACAGATTGGGATAACTCCCTGGTCGGCTCTGGCTGGCCGCAAAGGTGATGACGCACGAGGGCGCCGGTCTTCTTCCTGGAGATGACGTTCGGGTCTGCCCTACCTCTTCCCATCTTACTGCTTCTCGGGTGAAAACCCTAACTGTGGTGGGCAGCGTGGCGCTGTGGAGACTCATCGTTGGACGCGGGTTGATGGACTTGCTTAGGCTGGTGGCGTTTTATGGTGTCGTGGTGACATGGACGGCAGTTGGACCTTTGAGTACATACTGCAAGCAATATAGGGTGCTATTGAACATTCATCAATATCAGTCCCCTGGATTTCGCCAATCAGCCGCAGATTGCTGTCATTGAGAGTGCAGCCTGGGACGGTTATTATAGTATCAGTGGTTAGCTTATTTTCAGCTCCACGGACAAGTCTGCCTGCTACTGAGAAGCAGCCATATTTCTTTTGTAAAAGGAAAGTCAAGAAACAAGTGCTTTGCTCACTCGAGAGTTTGATCGCCATTTCTGCACTTGGTGATCCCATCCTCTTGTTCTTAGAGCATCTCCAGCCGCGTCCCCAACAGGCTCTTCCCATGCGTTTTTTCCTCGCCGGCGCCGAAAAAACGGCCCAGTCGCCCCCCCTCCAGAAGCCCGTTTTTCGCCGGCTCGGGCCAAAATTGGTGTCGACGGACCCAGGTAGAACCCGACATCCTGGGGGGCGCCTGGGGCACCGGCACAAGCGAAAAGGGGCGTGTGGGTCCGCCCTGTCGACGAGTCGAGCGCCTCTTCCCGCCGTTTCTTCCAGCTTTTCCCCCACTTCCCTCCCATTTGCTCCTTTCCTCCCGCCATTCTCCCTCCCGCTCGCCTCCCAGCCGGCCGCCATGCCACCGAAGAAGTACTCCGTCCCCCGTGCCGCGGCAACCGCGACCGCCTCCGTCGCCCAGCCGAAGCAGAGGAAGCCGAGGGCGCCGTCGTCCAAGCTGCCGGACATGTCAAACACCGATTGAAGGGTGGAAGTACAGCGACGGGAGGCCGTCACCACCGACCGGCGGAACAGGGCCCTCGCCAAGAAGGTCTGTGACAATGCAGCGCGCGCGACTGTGGGTGCCGCTGACCAGGCCGAGGCCGAGGCGACTCGCGCGGGGATGATGAATCCCCCCGGCAACCACGCGCATTACGCGCCCTGGGGCCAGCAAGGCGTCGGGTCTCCGACACCGCAGCCATGGGGGTCGCCGGGCTACACCGACGGGGACGCACACGGTGGGTTCAACCCAAATGTCACTTTCCCCATGGCCACCCGGCCCAACGCACGCCCTCGCCCGCCTTCACCGGCATGCAGTACCCTCCATACAACTACTCGCCGCCCGCGTACGTGTCCTCCCTGATGCCCCCTCTCCGCCGTTGCGCGCTGCCCTTCTCTCACCTCGGCGACGCCAACGAGACCGAGGCCGACATGGACGACATCATCGCGGAAGGTTCAGCCGCGGCCGCCGCGTCTCCCGGGTTCACCGCAGACGAGACGGTGGATCTCAGCGGTGGCATGGACGGCGAGGTCGCCTACGTCTACGGTGACGAGGAGCAGGACGAGGAGGAGGAGGAGGAGGAGCCGGCGAGGGGCGCAAGAAGAAGAAGGTGACGGCCAGGCCAGAGTCGCGCAACAAGTGGGCGTCCAAAGAGGAGGAATGCCTCGCCAAAGCATGGAAAGTCATCTGCCTCGACCCGACCACCGGCGCGAACCAGAGCATCGAGATGTACTGGGCGTGCATCAAGGCCGAGTTCGACGAGCGCAAGCTCGTCGACCCCTACTTCAAAGGTGTCTACATGCAGCGCGGGTCGAAGGCGATGGCGAACCATTAGGGGCGTATCCAGGGGGCGTGCAACAAATGGCATGGGGTCGTCGAGGAGGTCGCCGGTCGCCCGAAGAGCGGCGCCAGCATTGAGGATCGGTATGCCACGCCGGTCTCCCGCCTCTTTTCGCCGTGCACCCGCCAACTGTTTGTTCGTCCCCGCGCAGTTGCTGCGTATGTTCGGCCTGTATCGGCAGAGCAACAATGACGCCGAGTTCAAGTACCTCCACGTCTACAAGCGCATCGACAAGTGCGACAAGTGGGCGGAAGTCCGGCGCACCCTCGAGAAGGCCAAGGAGACCTACAAGCCTGACGTGCCGGCTTCGGGCGCGTCAGATGGGCGGCCGACGGCAACAAAGGTGCCAAGAAGGGGAAACACGCCGACGTGGCCACAGCTTGTGTGCAGGAGTCCATCCAGCACTGCCTCACCGACGCACAGGTCCGGGCCGCCCTTCATGAAGAGAAGACCGAGGCGCGCTGGTCGGCGTTGATGTCGACCAGCGCCGTCAAGCTCGACCTACTCCGGACCAACGTCGCCGCGAAGAAGAGGAACACCGACCTGGCTTTCCTGCTAGGCGGGGCGGACATGCTCCAGAGCACCGACGAGGCGGTCAAGGCGTGGTACATGGCGCATGTTGGCGTCATCCTGGACCAGCTTCCCTCGACGACGACTGTAACGCCCCGGATACAACTTTCCATATTCGTAACTCCAACTCTTGCCTTTTCCGGAGATGCGATATGTTATTTTCCTCCGTGGTTGGGTTTTTGTTTTTTTTTGTTTTGCATTTTGTTCATGTCTTGCATTTCATCATCGCATCATTCGCATTGCATCGGCACTCCGTTGCCGTCATGTTTTAAAACCCGTAGTCGTTCGTAGTTGCCGCGTTTCCCCCTTGCCTTCGTTGACCGATCCGAGTCTAACCGGGTTTTCGATTCCCTCTTGTCTGACCATTTGACCCCTCTACTCTTTACTCAAACCCCTCGCGCG